CACACACACACACACACACACACACACACACACACAGAACCTATAAGAGATTCTACCAGTAAGATGTGGAGGATATGCTTTCTGGTTTTCTATAATTAGACAAGAAGATTTGAAAGCTGTAACTTCTTAACCTTTTTGTTCCCCAAATGTAGTCATGAAGAATCCTTTAGAGAAAATAATACTTGATTTCTGAAAAAATTGGAGTATTTTGATAGCATTATTGGGAAGAATACAAACATAATACTTCATAAAGAATGTATGAAATACAGTTGGACTTCTGACTTCTATTTAACATGCTTATGAAAACATGGAGTCCAAAGAAATAAACATGTGTTTTTAAAAATGGGCTCTAGGAACTAGTTACAGTAATACTTCAAATTCATTGCTATAGCTGTTTACTATAGTTGTTTACATGCTCTTATCAAATTCATAAACACATTTTATACACAGAGCTCAATTACATAAACTCTTGCAAGCTGCACACATTTTAAAAACATACCCATGCCTTCATTTACAAAATTAAAATCAAGAACGGTTTTCAATAAATGTAGGAGGCTGAAACATAGCAAAGAAATAAAAGGCAGTGGAAAAGCGTGTAAACCGCTATGTCCCCAAATATGGGCAGTCTGTCTGCTCCTACCCTGAGAGCTCGGGACAACAAGGGGCCATTTGTGGTAGATTGCTTGGCAGGTTGTTTGCCCGGAGTATCTGTCACCCGGAAGAACCACAGAAGACAGGACTGCGTAAACCTCCAAGGCAGGAGGCCCAAAGCTGACTCAAACTGCTAGAGCAAAAAGATGGACACAGGTTCACAGACCACTAGATGGCGATCAGGTTACTCCACTAGCGACAGGGACGGTTGCAGGCAGCTGGCAAACCTAAGGAGAGCTCTGAGTCCCTTTGCTTACTTTATGAAAGGTCTAACTTCCAAAATCTGGGAAAACAGATTCACAGTATATTCAGAGAAATGCCAGGGAAGAACAGCTATGCAGTTAAAACACAGTATTTAATTTTTGTAGCAGTCAAGAAACACAATAGAAATCATTACTCAAATTTTTCACAAGTTCTCTTGAGAAAAAAATAAAATCCTCAATGTAGGCCTTAAATCTTGACCACAGGAAAAGAAAACCTTTGTTCTCTATAACATATGAGAAATTAAAATAAAATTTATGAAATTTAAATACAATTGTATTTACTATTAGGTGTCAATGACTTTAGTGAAGCTAGGAGCTTAATTCAGAGAACAAATTAATGTTTAGCATAATAGAAACAGAATCACAAGTAACTAGCCTTCTAAATGTTATTATGGATATTGATCAACATCTATCTATTGCAATAATAGATCCATTACACTTAACAACATGTTTATTTAAGAGCATTATGTTTGTTTTAATTTAATTATTTATGTCCCTTTAAAAGTACTAGAGATTACTAGCTTATTTTGGCTTGAGATTTTCCTATAAACTTTTAAGAATCAATAGAAACATGTATTATTTATTCATAAGCATAATGATTTCCCTTTTAAGGGAAATCACAAAATAATCACATAAAATAGTAATTATTAATTTATTGATAGTATAGTCAGTGGAAACATCTTATTAATTGGACTTTTGCAGATCAACACATCTGGCAAGGACCTACTTTCCTTTTATTAGATAAAAATAAAATGTAAAGAGTTTTTTTCAAAGATTAAAATAAACCTTAAATAAATCATTTATATATACTATATATAGTAGGATACACCAGCATATCCTATATATACTATAAATAAGATACATCATTTATTCTTTCAATTAGTTTCAGACAGCTACTAGTTATTTTCAGAGTTGCTGGGTTTTCCTTTTGCCTTGGTGGCCCAGTCATTGTGATTGCTTTTTTCTTTTTTTGTACAGAGTCTATAGGGTCTCACTACACAGATCAGACTCATAGTGATCCTCCTGTTTTCAGCCTCCCAAGTGCTGGGATTACAGGCATGAGCCAGCATGCCCAGATCCAATCTCTGGCTCAGCATGCCCTGGGGGCAGGGCTAGCACCCACACCACACCAGGGATTGAACCCCTGTCGCCTGCCTAAGCAGGTGCTTTAGTCCTCTCAGCTATCTGGATGGCCCCTGCCAAATTTAAATCATCTAGAAAAAGGGAACCTGGTAAAAACCTATTGGATGCACATTTTGCTAACCTCTAGTCTAGAGATTTGGGCCTTACAAGAGTTGGCTGGATGTTAGATCTTCAGTGCTTCTGCTTCCTAGGTAGCATATATAGAGGCTGACAACAGTGGTAGTGAAAATAACAACAGATAAAACAAAGTTGATATTAGAAACTAGTAAATGATAAAGGTTCAAAAGATAAGATAATAGTTTATTTGTATGGTGTTCCCAGTAACTTGTATATTTAAGTACTAACAGGAAAGGTTTATTTTTACTTCTTACTCTTTTTCTGTTTTGAGTTCAAAAACTTGGCTATTTAAGCACCTACATTTGAGTCGCTAAGCTAGACTTTCCCCCTGTGTGGCACTCATACCTGAGTGCACACCATAAGAGGTAAGGTCAATTCAGGTGGTACCTGCATATATCTGTCGCCTTCTTGCCCAATCATGTTTCTCCACTCCATGAGGGACCGCTGCAGCCGTTCAAGTCCAGTTTCCCACAGCCTCACGTGGCCTCCCATGTCAACCGTAACAACGCCACTTTTGTCCCACTCAGCCAGCAGCGCGTCTGTGTCTGAAATAGTCGACAGCCATGTGGTATAAGGCGAGAGAGATTCTGATCTGAAAAAAGAAGCCAACGTGAAGACAAGAAACTATAAAAATAAAGCAGGAGGGTGATACTTCACATTCAAATGTTCTTTCCAGTCTAAGAAGTATGTTCACAACATTACTCACGCTTTCATCCCTGCTCATGCCTACTTCACAGCACAGGAAGCTTGCAAGAGTATGTGTCTTGGGCAAAAGGGAGGCTGAATATATTGAGTGTGTAAACATAGAGCAGGACAATAAAGAACATAATAACAAGAACTACTTTAATGAAGATATTGTATAATTAATCACAATATGCTATGTGTTGATAATTCAGGTAATGAAGACAGTTAAAAGTTACTTAGATTCCTTAATTACTATAAAGAATTTGTTATGGGCTACATATTTGTGGTTCCTAAAATTCACATGCTGAAGCCCTAATGCTCAGTGTGACAGTACTGTGACAATATCCATTCGAGAACAGTAAGGTGATAGTATCCATTCAAGGATACAGATGGAAAGCAGCCATCTTAAAGCCCTCACCAGAAAATGAACCAGTCAGCACTGTGACCATGGCTTGCACAGCTTCCAGATGGTAAGAAATGAAAGTCTGTCATTTAAGCTACAAGTTTGTGGTAGGCTGTTATAGCAGACTGACGTGAGTAGAACTCTAATAGTAAGAACACTAAGAGATAATATACTAGCTGGGTGTAGTGGCTCACGCCTGTAATCCCTGACTCGTGAGGCCAAAGCTGGAGGATCATTGCATGTTTGAGACCAGCCTTGGCTACAAGGTGAGGTCAAGGCCAGACTGAACTGCATAGAAAGACCCTGTCTCAAAATGACAGAGAAAGAGACAGACAGAGAGAGACACAGAGAAACAGAGAGAGAGAGAGAGAGAGAGAGAGAGAGAGAGAGAGAGAGAGAGGAGATACTAATATCCAACTGTAAAGAACAAAAATGCACAGCAATATATTGGTTATTTGCATTTGTTTTGCTAGTTGCATTTTACTAGATATCAGGAATTTTCATTTGTTGGCTAATTTCAATTATTAATTAATTAATTTTCTATATTTTAGGGCAGGGACAGCCACTGTTGCATTTGCCATTCCTGGGCTTGTGGGCATCCGATGACACAATCAGAAAGAAACAAACTTCATACCAATTAATACCTCCCAAACTGCCCTGGGGGCCTCACGTTTTAGAGCTTTCATGTCATTGCTGAAACTAAAGTCTTGCTTCTGCATTTCAAATACATTTGTATTTGATTTTTACCTTTTCTGACTCTTAAAATGATAGGACTCTAACACAAAGAACACACACATATATAATTATTATATATTTCATGTTTCTTTTATTATATACTATAACCTTATTTATGGTAATTTCTATGAATGTAAATTTTGAAAAGTCAACTGCATATTTCTTAGATGTTTTTATGATAAAGGGAACAGGAGAATGGGACCATGTGTTTCAGGAGTACTGTACAGAACTCCTAAAAGTATTCAAAGGAGGCAATGTGATATGAAATGAGATTTACTTTATGGTATTCTATCAAAAATTGTTTTGGGAAAAATATTAGTAGTTACAAATTATGGAGTAAAGAGCTATTCAAGAATAATGACATTCATCTATGTGAAATTATGTGGCAATAACACTTCAGTTGTAGAGTACTACTGAGAACTGTGTCTATCTTCCCCCTCTTGAAACCTACCACATAATTTTCAGCTCACAGGGGCAATTTCTTCAACATATTTACTACAGTTTGTACATCAGGTCTAGAATCCCTTGATTACTTTCTTTTTAAATGTATATTTCATATATATATATATATATATATAAAGTTTTAAATAAACAAAAAATAATAATAAAGTCTAAATTTACATATAGTCACATCTGAGTTAGGTGGTGTCATTTTAAAAATGAAAATATATAGAGAAAAATATGCAAGGGAAAAAATAACACATTCATTTGGCCCCATATTCACACTATAGTCTTATTATTAAATTTCCTATTAACTGAAATTAGTGGGCTGGCTTGATAGCTCAGCAGACTAAGGAGCCTGCTTAGGCAAAGCGCAGAAGCCAGGGTTCGATCCCTGGCCTGCTGCGCAGGCCTCACCTCTGGGACACTTTGAGACAGCCACTGAGCCTGGGTGTGGTGGTATGCACCTGTAATCCCAGCATTTCAGAGGCTGTAAACAGGAGAATCATTATGAATCCAATCTACGTAGTGAGACCCTGTAGACCCTGCCCTAAAATATAGAAAATTAATTAATTAATAATTGAAATTAGCCAACAAATGAAAATTCCTGATATCTAGTAAAATGCAACTAGCAAAACAAATGAAATCCAAAGGTATTCCCTTGAAGACCAAAGTATTGATAATGAACTCTTGCAATGCAAAAACTCCAAATTGAGAGGTATATAAGTACGATTATATGCTGGGTTTCAAAAACTTAGAAGAAATACGGAAAATAAAATATGACCTTAAAATTTTTGTATATCCTCTTGCCTCAGAAGCTCATACACTAAAATTTTTATATTGAACACATATCAAAGTAAAAAGGATAATATTTTGGACACACTAGGTTAAATAGATTATTAATGTGAAATTCATCTATTTCTCTCCCTTCCTCCTTCTCCCCTTTCCTTCCTTCTTTCTCTGTAGACAGGATTGAATCCAGGGCCTCTGAATTAGCTACATCCTCAGCCCTTTTTCATGTTTTATTTTGAGCCATGGTCTTGCTCGGGTCACTAAATTACATGGGCTGTGCTTGAACATGCACTCAGTGCTGGGATCTTTTAATATTTTTGTGGCTACGATAAGCATAAAATTATATTTGTGCCTTGAGTTGCATTTCCATTGGAAAATGCTGCTCTGCATATGTAAATTACAGTGCTCAGCAGCCACACTTCCACAAGGTCTTCTATGGCAGGTAGAACATGGACCTTATACAGAAAGTTTCAAAACTCTGAAATTAAAAAGCTCTGGGGGAGGGTGGGATTAAAAGAAGTACTGGAAAAAATTATCAGTGCTTCAAAATGCTTTTATAAAAAAGATGTTCTTTGCTTTTGTTACTTGAACGAGCCATACATCTTAATAGTATACAACTAAGATGGAATAAGAAATTTCTTCAAGTGTCTAAAGCTTTTTCCACACATACACAAGCTCCAAGATGTAAAGTTGTCCATACATGTATACATACATACATATACAAGAACATACATTTCTTTTTTTAAAATAAATTTCTTTGAAGAATTACTTCATTTTGCACAGTCTGGTAATCTAATTAAAGTGTCCTAGAAATGCAACTGGTAACTGCTGAGTGATTTCACAATGTCATGCTGAACTTCTTTTTCTCGAGGTTAGTAGGAAGAAAAGTGGTCTGGTGATGTTTTGAGTGACAGACAGCTCAGCTGAGGCTGCTGGCTTTCCTCTGACACAGGAAAGCTCTCCAGGATTGTCTCTGTCATTGCTGGGAATAAATACCTGACACACAAAATTAAAGTAGGAATGGTTTATTTAGCTCACAGTGTGTGGAGATTTCAGTCCACACTCTCAGACTGGCACATGGCAGAGGGCAACTGAAAACAGCAAAATAGCAGGAGCAAAAGGGAGGAGTAGTGCCAACAACAGCAACAGAGAGCTAGTCTGTCTCATGTTGCATTCAGGCTATCCACCCAAGGCCAGGTATAGCACTCACACCCATAATCCCAGCACTGTATCATGAATTAATCACAGACTTTCTTTCTTTCTTTCTTTTTTTCAGAACTAGGGATTGAACTCAGGCCCTTGAGCTTGCCAGGCAAGCTGTTATTCTACTGAGCCATTTCCCCAGCCCCCATACACTTTTGAAGTCTGCCCCATAACTGCTTGAGGCTTTGGAGGGACAACTAGACACAAACCATAACAAGATCTTCTGATTAAGACTAGGCATGTAGGCAAAGTTTTACTATTGTTTTACGGAGGGCTCAGGCACAGGTGGGAAAGTCCCCCTGGAGGTTGGGGTAGAATAGGATCCAGACTTACATAGAGTGGAAAGATTAGATAAAGGAGGCTTTGGCCTGGGGACAAGTCAGGGAAGGTAAGGAGGAGCCTAGGCTAAACAGACGGAGATAAGGCACTGATATGCTCAGTAAAGGACAGATTGCAGGTGAGAACACCTGTCTGTGTGTTCCTCAAAGACAGACAGAGCTTGATGCATCTGCTTTTGGATCCTGAGTCTAGGACAGGCCTTTGCTTCCACCTCTGGACAATAATAAAGGCAGTGAATGGTGATGAGGTCCAGTCTAAATCTCTGGGTATCCTTTGACTCCTTTATGGCCTTCATGACTAATCATATTAAACAAATGCTACTTAAATTCCTTTGACATTTTGAATACAAACTTCACAAAACCAATACATACAGGTAGTAAGTATTAAAATTCCTGTAATACTAACAATGTTATTTTTGGTACAGAAAAACTTAGCATTAGAACAGATCAAACAAAAAAGAATGAAGGCTAGAAGCCTATGAAACTTAACACCTATTCCCAACCCTTAGCATTTATAGTTTATTTGAAATATTTGAATATTTTTCTAAAATGAAAATAAAAATGCCAGTAAAGCATGCAGAACAGCAAGATATAAACCAAGTGTAACCAGGCAAAGAAGAGCTTGCTATTTAAGGAGGCAAAAGTTACACATTTATTCAGAGAACTTGGTAAGATTATTTTTTTTTTTTTTTTTAACTGCGGATTGAACCCAGGGAGCCATTATGCTACATCCTCAGTCCTTTATTTATTTATTTTTTTATTTAAATTTTAAGACAGGGTCTTGCTAAGTCAAGGAGGCTGGTCTCTAACTTGCACTCCTCCTGCCTCAACCTCCTGGGGAGCTGAAATGACAGGTATATACCACTGTGCCTTGCTAAGAACTCACTTCTTTTTTTTTTTTTTGCGGAACCAGGGATTGAACTCAGGCCCTTGCGCTTGCCAGGCAAGTGCTTATTCCACTGAGCCATCTCCCCAGCCCCGAACTCACTTTTTAAATGACATACTAAGCTATGGACAGAAGTGAAATGAATTACCTGGGAACAGGGATGTATCGGAGTTTTTTCGATTGAAGATCAGTGACTTCTATATAACCAGTTGTCTCTGGAGGCTCAATATCTGCAAATAAGTCACAATATGAGCCAACTATTAAAGGACAGTTTGGCACCAAACAGGAACCTAAGAATGCTTGAACACTACTAGAAGCATAAAGAAGTTATAAGAAGATTAAGGTAGAGTTCTAGGATCACTTGACAAGGTACTGGGTAAGTCTAGCTCTCATAGCTGGATTGAAAATTGTATTTCCTTCAGGAAAACACAGGGATATCAAAGGGAAACATATTGGCCTGTGATTGTTTTGTTTTCTTTTTTTTTAGTGTCAGAAAATAATCCCTTTATTTTTATTGTCTTTGATAGCTTCTCAAGATAGATTAGTACTTGCAGGCATCTTTTTCTTTCCCTCTATACTAGGAATTGAACGTAGGATCTCACACATGCTTAGGCAGGCACTCTACCATCAAACTATTTCCCAGCCCTTCGCACTGATAGCTTATCAAAAATAGTCCATCATCTGAATTGTGCTTTCCTTTTTGAGAAGTCACAACACTGTTGAGTGGGATTCAATCAAACATGGCACAATTAACACCCAGCTTGTAATCAGTCTGAGCTTGTGTGAACTTCTGGGTTTGGTGTTTTCTAGCTGTGTTATTTCAGTCAGGTTATTTACCTCTCTGAGGTCTGTTTTTCTTTGTCAGAAGGTGGGAACAATAGCATTTGAGAAACAAGCATTATTTTGAGGAACAATGCAGTGAGAAAATGCTCTGCACCTAAGTAGTAGTTGCCTTTGAGGAGCTCACAGCACAACAAGGAAAGTTCCATACCTCTCTCCTTCTCATCCCTTCCCTCCCTTCCATTTTATTTCTTTCTTCTCAAGCCACTGTGGGCCTCTGCAGACTCGTAAACAATCCCAGAGCTGGAATTACAATTTGGGTCAGGGAATGCACCGGAGAGTTGGGCAAGACGAAGTCCCATGGAGCAAAAGGCTGAGAAGGAAGAGATAGTGGTGTACAGGGAGAGGAGTGACAAGGAAAGAATCTTCTGTAACATGATCACCTGTATAGCCCGGCTGTCTCCGGAAAGCCACTTGCATAAAATGGACATGTTTATCATAAAAATTACACACCATCTGCACTGTGCTGCTCGAGACAGAAGGTCAGTTGTGGTTAAAGTTTTATAGTATATGTAATTTGTGACAATGCCTGCTGAAGTAGGTTAAGTTATTTATAGACCAGGATTGTTTTGTTTTGTTCTGTTTGCCAAAAATGACCAGTTACTAAAGCTGTTGGAATGACAAGGGCTGCCTAACTCACTAATTTAAACATTTTGGCTTACCACTTAAAGCCATTTTTTTTTCTTTATAAGTAGTAGTATTAAACTGAACTATTGTCATCAGTGCTTTCAGGTTACCAGGAAAGTAACACAGGCCAATTTATTTTAAAGTACTTTACATATTTCCTTTCACTATCAAAACTGATTCCATAGCATAGAGGGTAAGAAAATACAATAATGACTCTGCCTACTGTTTCAAGAGGGAGAAAGCAGGAATTTTATTACTGGTATTAAAAAAAAAAAAACATTTTCAGATATCAGAAAAGGGAATTTCTGGCTACTGGAGAAGTATTAAGAATAGTAGTAGTGTGGTAGGAGAGGTAAGGATTGTGTGTGTGTGTGTGTGTGTGTGTGTGTGTGTGTGTGTGTGTGTGTGTAACCAGGGATTGAACTCAGGCCCTTGTGCTTGCCAGGCAAGCGCTTATTCTACTGAGCTATTTCCCCGGCCCCCAGGATTTTTTAAATAATCAAAAGTAATGCTTCCTGAAGTGAAAATAAATCAAAATCTTATGGCTACCCTTCAACAGAGTATTCAATTGAATTAAGAAAATGAGAACTGTGTTCACCTTTTTTCCAAATATAGTCAAGTCCTTGTCCAACCAATTTCAATGTTTCTACACTATAGACACAATGGAAGTTCTGTGTGTTTTCATTATATTTATAATCTGGGTGGACTTCAAAGATAGGAATAAACTGCATTTAAAGATTAAAGATTACTGGCTATTAAATGGAAATCATTGCTGCAGTGTTTATCATGTTGTTCCCAAGAACAATAGGGACAGATTATATGCACAATGCCAGGTTAAGAGAAGCATAAAAACTGAGGCAGCATGCTCAGGTTCCCTCCCATCCCTCTCTTGAGAGAAGCGTTCTTTCCCCCAGTAAATATATTCTGCTCTTAAAAAAAAAAAAGAAAGAAAGAAAAAGAAAAGAGTATCATAAAACTATCAGGCAAACCAACCGAAAATATCTTCAAGGGAAGATTAAACTAAAATTTTTCACTCTACAAACACAATTTGATGTTCACTCACTTCTGTCTTTACTCACAAAATGTGAGTATACCCCCCAAAAAAGCTTTTATTGGGGTGGGAAAATAGCTCGGTAGTCTAAGCATCTGCCTGACAAGTACAAGGACCTGGGTTCAATCCCTAGTAGCGATTTTTTTAAAAAGCTTTTATTTATGGGTTTCCATATTATGGTGTTCTCCGCTGATGTTTTCATGCTGCTGGAAAAACACTACTGGCAATTCTACTCTTTAACATATGGAGTCAGGTAGAAGAATAGTCACAGTCCCACTATGTACAGTGGCAAAACCTTGGAAAGAATCTAGTGTGCCTTGTCAAAGAAAAATCAGTGACTAAACGGTAGTATGTAAAGCAGTGGAAAGAAAAGCTGAGCTACCAGCATGGTGATGACCAACTCTTCCCTGTACCAAATTCTTCACAAGCTCTTCTGAATCTTTCTTAACAACGGGTTCTGAGTCTTGGGCTTCTGTGTTTGCTTCTTACACCATTTTGTAAAAACTTGCCTGAAAATGGATCATAAATCTACATGTAAAATATAAATCTATAAAACTTCTAGAAAAAAATTAGGATGTTTGCCCTTCATCAAAATAGGAGGAAATGTTTTAAAAGTATATATCTGACACTGCACTGACATCTAGAATATATAAAAACACTCGAAACTCATAAATAATAAAAACTCAAAAATGGGCAAAAGATCTGAAGAGGAATTTCTTGAATTAGATACACAAGAAACAATGCTCGACACCTTAGGTGCAAGGGAAAGCACAGTTAAAATCATGTGGTAGTACTATAATGACAGCACTATAGAAAGGTGGAAAAACTGACAATGCTAAGTGCTGACAAGGACGCGGAGCAACTGCAGCTCTCATTCATTGCTAACATGACTGCAAGATGATATTGCCACTTTATAAAACAGTTGGGCAATTTTTATTTATTTATCTATCTATTTATTTATTTATTTATTTTTGTGGTACTGGGGATTGAACTCAGGATCCTGCACTTGCCAGGCAAGCACTTATTCTACTGAGCTATCTCTCCAGCCCCAGAAATTTTATTATATGATACAAAAAGCCATTCCTAAGTATTTGCTCAAGTGAAGCAAAAATCTATGTTCACTTATAAGAGTACATGAATTTTTTTTTGTATTTTTTTTTTTTTTTTTTTTTTTTTTGTGGAACCAGGGATACATGAATGTTTATAGTGACCTACTCATTATTGCCCCAAACCAGAGGAAATCTAAATATCCATCAATTTGTGAATGTACAGGCAAGTTTGGTATATCCATATAGTAGTGGTACATCCATACATCACTTGGCAATAAAAAGGAACAAGCTCTTACTATATACAACACAAATGATTCTCAAATACATTATATAAAGTTTAAGAAGACAGAGTAAAAAGACTACAACCTATGTACAGTATGATTCCATTAGTATTATGTTATGGTAAAAAAGCAAATCTGTAAGGACAGAAATCAGAATAGCTAGAAGTTGGAGGTAGTTTGAAGGGCTGGGCCACAAGTGACATGGGGAGAATTTGAGAGTAAGGGAACTCTTATTAATTTTGGTGGTGATGATACAACTGTTTGTATTTGTCACACTCACAGAATTATACAACAGAAAGGATGAATTTTACTGTGCATGAACCAATAATACACAGTATTATTAATAAACTTTAATAAACCAATAAGTACATTAGAAGTATTACTGTGATATATGAGAACAGGCAGGAAAGGGGAAGAGCGGAAGAAGTACTATTGACAGGAAGCCACGGCAATACCACAGCCAAGGTGCTTTGAATGGGATTTTGGTGATAGAATTTAGTAATAAGATATATCACTGAGATTCCGCCCTAGAAGGTGGTGATTAATGATGGACTACAATGAAGGACAAGTGAGAATGTCTGGGTGGATGAAAGTGTCCTAAGCTTTGGTATAGAACACCATGCTGACTGCTGCGAAGCTCTGCTGAGCTCCTCCACCTTTCATGTGGCTCCCTTTTCCTGCAGCAGCTCCTTCCTTGGATTGACTCCTACTTGTCTTTCAGGAGTCACTTTATCACAAGTCTGGCTTGTACTGTACTGCAACTGGCAGTTTGCTCATTTGCCTCTTCTACTATAAAAGACATTCTAAGGAAATTTCTATTCATTTTTCATAAGTTTAGGCTTGGAAGGGACTAATTCTAAATATTTTTATTTAACTGGGGCTTTTCTAAGCCAGTGATTGATGATGATGATGATGATTAATGTATTTAGGCCAGGGTCTATAGGGTCTCACTATACAGATCAGACTCATAGTGATCCTCCTGTTCGTTAGCCCCCCAAGTGCTGGGATTACATGTGTGCACCATCATACCTAGTCTCAATCACTGTCAAAGTGCACCCTGGGGGCGAGGCAGGCATAGCAGGCCGGTGATAGAACCCTCAGCCCCTGCATCTGCCTAAGCAGGCACTTCAATCCGCTGAGCTATCTGGCAAGCCCTGTGAGTTATCTGGCTGGTCCTTATTATTAAAAAATACTTAACATTTCATTTGTAAGGACCACACTAACATAATAAGGACCAGCCAGATAAACAGAATGGGGTTTGAACATACAGTAGATACATACAAGAAACCATCAGCACTGCACTTGAATATGTTATGCAGTAATAAACATAAATTGACATGCAGAGCATTGATGAATTAATCAATATACTAAGTTGCTGACCCTAAGTCTCAAGTTTCTTTGCCTAATATCCTAATAATTTTTTGTTTTTCCAGTACAGGGGATTGAACTCAGGATCCTGCGCTTGCCAGGCAGGCACCTATTCTACTAAGCTACAGCCCTGGCCCTATCCTAATAATTTTTGAGATTGATTGACTGATTGATTGATTGATTGATTGATTTTTGGCAGAAATGGGGATTGAACTCAGGTCTTTACACTTGCCAGGCAAATGCTTATACTACTGAGCTATCTCCCCAGCCCTCTAATAATTTTTAAAGGCACCTGAAAACTACATTCTATGTAGTGCCGCCACTGAGGACAAATTCTTACCTCAGTGCTGACAAGCACACACCTGTGAAGATGAGTGAGCACTTTTGAAATACATAGCTCTTTTTAGCTACTTCCAACTTCTCAGAATGATTCATATTTACAAATACGAAATGATAGTAATAAACCAAATGTCCCTTATCAAAGCTATTTATAAATATGAAGTGACAGTGATAAACGAAATATTACCTGCTGAAAGTAAGCCACCATTAATAAACTTGGTAAATTAGGAGTTAGTAAATCCTTACCTTTTGGGTAGATGTCTTTTAAAGGGACTTCTCCTGGGGGCAAAATCCTGACTACCTGATTAGGATCTAAAAGAGTCACGCAATTGCTCTGTTTTGGAGTCCCATCTTTCTTCTTCTTCTCTCCATAGAATGATGTACTGGTCACGTTTGGCTTATGCAGAGATGTTGGCCTCCTCCAAGAATACACTTCACTGGGTGACTAAAAGGGGGCGGGGAAGGGCCCGAGGGAGGGAGCAGGGAGGAAGAGGAAAGATTAAAGTGCTAACGTACTGTACTCTATGTTCAACAGTAACTTTTACAATGCAAGCCTTCAAGCAGACATCGGTGGTAAATTATTGTTTCACCAGTATAAGAAAGCCAAATCATTCTTTAATCTTTTGGGAAATGGCTGTTTCACCAATAATTGTAATTTCCAGCCAAGAGTGAAATATACAAGTTAAACTATTTTCTGAGTTTTTTTCTTTCTTTTTGTGGAGCTGGGGATTGAACTCAGGCCCTTGCGCTTGCCAGGTAAGCGCTTATTCAACTGAGCTATCTCCCCAGCCCCTAAACTATTTTCTTTTGAAACAAATTACAACTAAAAAGAGAGAATACAATAGTACCACTAGTTTAAACATAGTACAACAAACAATTATACATCTATTCTATAGCGGAAAAAGTAGATCAGAACTGGTAATTCTGAAGTCCTTGGAGTGTCCTTTCTCAAGCACATATCTCTGCCTTCCCTAAATCCAATTCTTCTGGAATTTTGTGTTGGTGCTGGGGATATAGCTCAGTGGCATGTGCACCTGCCTGGAATTTTGTCTTCCATTTTTTTTTGCTTTACATTAAAATTTTACCATGAATATTGATTCCTTCCTAAGATCATAAACTATATTTTCCTCTAAAAATCTGCATAGTGCTCTAAAGTTTTTCATATTTAAATCCTTAACCCATAAGGAATTAATTTTTGTGAATGATGTGAAGCAGGGCCCTTGTTCATCCTTTTCTCATATGAATAGCAAATTATCCAACACAATAACCTTTGCTCATCGACTGATCTGCCATGCTGTCATAAAATACAGCTCCTTACACACAATGGCCACAGATGTCTTTCTTACTCTGCTTGGGCTGTGATCTTCGATACCTTACACTGGTTTATTTGTCGCATTTTAAAAATTTGATTGTTTTTTACTATTGAGTTTCAAGAAACATATTCTGGATACAGTGTTTTGCTATAAAAGTAGATTTCAAATGTTTTCTTCCAACAAGCAGATTTATAGAAGTAACTCTCTGTCTCCATCTCTCAGTCTCTTAGTACTACAGATTAGACTCAGGTCTTTGCACCAAACTATATCCCTAGCGTTTTTTGTTTTTTATTTAGAAACAGAGCCTTCCTAGGTTGCCAAGGAGGGCTAAAGCTTATGATGCTCCTGCCTCAGACTCCTAGACTGCTGTTATTACAGATGAGCCTCACCACACCTAGATGTCTCTTAACAGTGTTGTACAGAGCTGAAGTTTTAAATTTTAATGAAGTATAACAGATCAATTTTTTCTGTATGTAGCTTGTCTCAGACACTTAGTAAGATGTTTGCTAGATGTGTGATAGTAGATATCCTAATCTTATTTTTGATAATTAAGCGCATTTTATATTCACCGTTTAGGATATTTGGTATAGGCGTTTATAGCTACTGTCTTTGGTATGAGGTTAAGAAATTTACACATAGGTTTACAATAATTTGTTGCCTCTGATAACTATAAGAAAGTTATTAAGGGCTGACATACCCCTTTGTTAATAGTTGTATAAGGAATCCAAATAAATTCACATAAAAGCGGAAAGGCAGTGTGGTATAAAAGAAATGATATGAGTTAGAGTGTTAGACACACTTGAGTTCAAGCCCTCAGTTCCTTGCTTATAACCTTCATAGCCCTGGGGTTATACAACACCTTTATGCTTCTACTATTTTACCAGTAAGGCTTTGTAGAATTGTCATAAAAATTAACTATTATATATGAAAGGATTTAGAACAATACAGGAGCTTAAAAATATGACTGCTATTATAAAACATTGAAAGGCTACCTGACATTAACCTTCCATTTAACAAATATTCATTGGGTATCTCCCATGGCATACCACGCGAGGTATCAAGGATACAGCTTTTACTTTAATCAGGCCAGTAATCTTAAAAGCTACAGCAGATTTCTATAGGATTAATACAAGAAGTGCCTTATACCCAGCCTTTACTTTTTCACTTTTGGTATAGCAACATTCTATTTCCATAGTAATATCTTAATCAGATTAAGCGATGAAATGGTTTATTTAGATAGTTTTGTCTTCGCAGAAAAGCTCTATTATTTCTTGTACTCATAGTGGCAAACATTCAGAGAGAAAGAATATTAAATACATTGCTAACCATTCATTTAAGTTACATAGACACTATATTCCAACAACATATCTCTAGTTATATAATATACTAGCAAATGATTCTCTTCTTGATAATTAGAAAGACATATGGTAAAGTCCTAAGCCACATATTATCTATTAGGTTTTGGATTTCTAATATCTCATATACTGAAGTACCAAACCTTCATTAATTATATTAAATTTCTGAGGGATGCAGGATTGGTGTATTATCAGGCAGAGCCTAATATTTTTATCTTTAAATGATTATATCATCCCAAGTAAAAGCTATAAAGGAAATTATTAAAATTAAATGTTTAATGATACCACATGGAGCTACATCTATAACTTGTACTGAAATAGCATTTGCATTTCATTTTCCCACATCTCCCTGGGGGAGGATGGTGCCCAGTTTCACCTGAAGTCAATTATACATAGCCTCTACAGTTAACAGTGGAAAACAGCAGAAGGGCCCATATATAAGAAATACTGAGGCCCTGGCCATTATGGTATCGTTTTGCAGAATGCTACAAAAATAAGATAAATCAGGGCCAGCCAGATAGCTCAGTGGACTAAAGTGCCTACTTCAGCAGAGTGCAGTGGCCGGGATTTGATACCTGGCGTGCCATGCTAGTTCCGCCCCCAGAGTGCACTGAGGCATCGATTAAGACTGGGCATGGTGGCACACACCTGTAATCCCAGTACTTGGGGAGCTGAAAATAGGAGGATTCTAAGAGTCTGATCTGTGTAGTGAGACCATGTAGACCCTGTACTAAATACATTTAAAAAATAGAGTGCTACTCAATGGAAAATGAATTGGTGTTCATGACTATCAAAATTTTTATTGTACAGTAATGATACTCCAATATGTTTAACATAAAAATTTTAGAAGGTATATTACTTTATTGGTTTCACTTTACTCCTTTTGACAAAGTACAGATAACATGATAGAAAATCTCCATCTGTGGGTAAGGTAGTACTATGTCACACGAACTCTCACATGTGAATAATACTTGTGCCTCCTTACTAGATTACATCATTGTATTATACTTTAAATCCTAGGTTTTTAAACATAATAGAGTTATATAGATATTCTTTTTGTGACTGATTTCAAATGTGAACTTGATTTGAAGTATATACCAGAAAACTATTCTATTTTAAATTATCCCTGAAACAGGCTTATAGATTATAGGTCAAACTGAAGATTAAAAACATTTGTTCAGTGTCAGTGAGATACACCTGCTTAGGCAAGTGCAGGGACCAGGATTCGATCCCTGGCACCACATCCATGCTGGCCCTGCCCCCAGGCGTACAGAGCTGGCCACCGAAACCCAGCTTGGTGGTACATGCCTATAATCCCAGTGCTGGGGAGGCTGAAAACAGGAGGATCACTACAAATCTCAGCTGTATAGTGAGATCTTGTACCAAATACATAATGATATAAAATAAAATAAAAATTTGTTCAATGATATAAAAGGTTGATACTTACCATGAGATCTGGAAAACCAACCACTATGGTAGCATAACTGTTCTCATCTGAGAGAACTCGGTTGGGAGAGGCGATCTTTTGTCCCACAGCTGAACTTAGATTTTCAGATGATAGTTGATCCCTTGAAATTTTATGGGGCATGCTACGTTCTCTTTCTGAAAAGTAAAACAGAAGCATTAGACATGATATGCTCCTGGTATGCTCTATCAACTAGTATTTTGCAAGATTTCACTCTCAATAAACCTAATGAGGAAAGAAAAAAAGGTAAAAAGAGAAATCACATTCATGAGTTTTTGTTCGCGATAAGTCTGTGTTTACAATCAAAGCACCTTCCCAAAATGATTCTAAATGTTTATGTAATTTAAAATTTTATTAACAATAAATACTATCATTAGTAGAACCCTGCAGAAAAGGTATAAAACTGACCCAACCCAGTGATAGCAAAGGTGTGCTTTGAATTTTTTCATAAGTTACTATTCACCTCCCCAAACTAAATGAATTAAGTAGGTATTCTGATGGACTGTAGTTGATATAGTGCATGAGGAAAAGAAACTACATACATCCTCACATATATCAGGGATCTAAATATAAGTACAGATTATAAATTTCTGTTAAAAATTTCAGGAAGCTTAAATGAGTAAGCTTACTCAAGATCATCTGAAAGGTTATAGACTCTCATTTCCTACTTTTAATGTTGTGACTAAATTTTTCTTTTGGTATTAATATCCCTTAGGCTCGTGTTATTGTTCTTCAGTGAACCTAAAGGTCAGCGTGCACACGCATGCATCCACACAGCCCTAAACAGAGAGAACATAATATTTACCTTGGGTAACTCCAAACCCAGTGGTAGGCAGCTCCTCCTTCAAGACATAGAGCTGGCAAACCTCACTGTCCTCAGACTCAATATGTGCCGGCTTTGTTAAAAGATATTTTCTGTAAAGAAATAAAACATTTAACTTCAGTAAAAAATTTTTTCTTTTTCTAGTAATTTTCAGGGAAGACCAAGAAAAATTAGTCTTTTTCCTTCTAAATCCTTTAAAAATTTTCTGAATATAATTAGCAATTTCAGCATTTCACCATGCATTAACAAAGAACATATCAACACTATTATAAAGTTGTACTCCATGACCATGCTGTAATGTGAATTTTAAAAATCCAACAATTTGGGGGCTGGGGAGATGGCTCAGTGGAATAAACGCTTCCCTGGCAGGCGCAAGGGTCTGAGTTCAATTCCTGGTTCCACCAAAAAAAATTCCGATATTTTCTATAAAAGCACTGTAAAAAAAAAAAAAAAAAAAAAAAAAAAGCAACTTTATGGGGATACATCCCCATTAGCACAGAGCACTCTCTCTCATATCTGACTCTTTGATCAAGCAGTAAGCTGGAGAATGATCTCTGATTTGTGGCCAGCTGAGAGACATAAATCCTCACCATTATAATCCCTTTGATCTATTTGTTTTCAAGGTTTCTAAAATGTGGATGTATAAGTAGCTAGAATTGCTTGTAGTGAGCCACTTTTGCCTTGTAGGAGAGAGTTAGAAAGAATCTGCACTTAGCTAGTAGATGCAGTGCATGAGGAAAGGGACTTGAAATTTATCGCACATTCTTTGTAAGTCAAGTGTCCTGGGCTGCCTTTCATCAAGAAGTGTGTGGCCCAGTGGGCAGAGAGTGGGGGTGGCAGGCAACACCAACGTAAACATAGCAGAATGAGAACATACTAGATGAAAGCAAGTAACTTCGAAGGTGTAGATTCTGTAAGTTAGGAAAAAACAAAGCTCTACCATAGAGAATGGCCTCTCTGTAGTACAACTTAAACTGCAAATCTACTTTGAAGGATCTCCAATTTAGCAGTATCACAGTGAGTTCTGACTGTGCTAACAGAAAAAAAAATCTCAAATAAACACTGATTTTATGTAAAAGTCATTTGGTACTGCTAATTTTAGTGCCATACTCTGAAAGAGGAGATGTAACTGTTTTAATTTTCTCTTCTTTCTTTCCTTTTGTAATACTTACCTTCAGCTATGCTGTCAAACACAGAAATTATTAGGGAAGACAGAAGGAGGATTGCACAGAGACAGCTTTGAACGAGGGACAAACAAGACTGAGCTTATGGCACACTCCAGGAGATGTATTCACACAGATTCACCTACTGATTTGTTTGGCTCTCCATCAGCAGCCACTTGTCCTCTGCTACAAGGAAAATCGTCTTGAGGCTGATAGGAAGTGCGATGGTGTGAGTCTGCCCTTCTAAAACATCTAGGACAGTCAAGCTATTCCTGAAAAAGAAGAAAATTACATCTGAAAGGAAATGATAATGGTTGAGTAACCATGACACAGTCTTTTCATGTGATGTTATATAACCTAAAAGGAATGTTTTCAAGACTAAGTAATAACATAGAAAAAGGTTAATTGAGAAAACAGTTATATATAAAATTCTAAACTATGTCAGCGTGTGTACAAGAAGAAATAAAGTGACAGTTGCCATGTTAGTAGAGGCTGTGTTACAGAATTATGAGCACTTGCCTGTTTCCCAGTGTTCTACAGTGTGGGAAGACTTAGTTTTATACTAAAATATTTATAATTTGTTTATATTAATTTCATAACAAACAAGTATAACTGAAACAGGAAAGAGAAGAAAATAAAGATCTTAGTTTAAATGTTTTACGATGAAAAACTCACCCTTTTTCTTTGTAGAATACTACCCAGTTTTTATGGGAAAACTCTTTACACATTTTATAAGTTTCCTAAAGACAAAATAAAACAAAATACCCACATTAAATGTGTCAGATACAGCCACAGCTCCATAGCTGTTTCCCCTTAAATAGAAAATGTTCAATGTGTAGCAGATGTAACTCTCACAGAAGCTGTTTGCCCACTCCCAAAACAATTATGGCAACTTGGATTAAACCACATTATAAAACTCACTATAAACTATGCAATAAAATATAATAATAATAATAATAATAATAATAACAATAATGTCAAATACTGCTGAGAAGTAAAGTGCCACCTGGTGATTAACTATAGAGTTTACATTATAACAAAAGCATGTAGAAAATATTTGTTCTGGATTAATTTATGACAATAATCTATTTTTATAGGCTTTTAAGAGCTAAGTATTCTGTCTTGCAGAACACTGGATAAACTTTACTTTATATCCAAAAGGCAGAATAAACTCCACTGAGTTGGACTTCACTGTTCATGTATTAGTTTAATTTAGCTATTAAACTGAAAGGTTTATAAGTAGGGACAACCAGATATCATATTCATGGTTTTGCCATATAAATTAAAACTATAACTACATAATTGGAGAATGGATAGAATTTTTCTGAATATCACACTCAAATAACTCATAAAGTTCAATAGTGATAATTTTCATGTTAGTATGGTGAATACCAAAAGATGCAACTGGTATCTCTATATAGTTGTGTTATGTTAAAATTTATAAATACATATTGGGAGAACATTCTTGTGCGCCACTGTGGGGCAAAAAAGAAGCCATGAAAGGGGTGAGCAGACATGCATTTTTAGGGTTAGGAAGCTCTGAAAGTCCTTGGCAATTTGCTGTGAAACTCTGGCTTTCCTTACACCTTCCTCCTTGCTCCACCAGGATGATCTCTTGGGTACCTCTTCTTCTGAGGGGACGATGAGACGGCGAATGGTCTGCCCAAAGGTGTCTAATAAGAGGATGACATTACTCTGAAAATAAAAGAAGCAGTGTGAAGCTCAAGATTTGATTGTTCTTAAGAAGTGGTAGCACGTTGGCGACCTTTGAGGGAAACTTACAGTGATAAAGCAGAGGGAAGAGACATTTCATGAAAATATTCAGTGATTTTTTTTTCAGTGGAATTTAACGTTTTTGTGTTTTATGAAAATATTTCTAATTATATAATTATGTAACTTTCTCTTTCAATATTTTATCTTAAAATCAAAATCATTTTCTTCTAAATAAAATCTAGCCAAGTTGTGTGTTTGCTTGTTATATTGTAGCATTTGCCTTTATTTATGTTCTAGGGATTGAACCCTGACCTCTGTGCATGCTAAGCAAGTGGTCTGCTAGTGAGCTACATCCCAACCCCAAAGTTCATTTTCTTTTACCAAATTTGATTTAAAGAATACTCTGTTGAAAGCTATATATAGTTAAGCCTCATTTTTTCTTTTCAAAAATTCAGGTTCAAGTCAGCAAATAGGTGCATAATACAAAGATGGGTTAACACAAAACATGAAGAACCCTAAAGAATATAGCTAATAAAGAGTGTTTATCACCTTGAAAGTCACTAAGCTTATTTTAATTACTGGTGCTGTAACAATTTACAGATAAAGACCTTTCTTTGGCATTGTTAATTACAGCTATGTAATGAAGTAATAACAAAAATCTCTTAGTGATTAGGAGCAATTTTGGAGAAAAGGAATCTTAAACATTGAAATACAGAAGCTTAAACACATGAAATAAGAATTTAAAATCGAGAAATAATTAAATACTTTAAAGGGATGTAAAAACTGGCTTAGTTAACATATAAAGATATTTAAATATTAAACTAATAGTTTTGCAAAAAAAAAAAAAGACACCTGAAACTTGTTAGTCAGGCTTCATTGTTATGCAGTTCCCCTTTTTTGTTTTAATTTGAATTCCTCCAGTTATCCTAATTGTTACTACAATTTTTTTGTTTGAAGAACTACTTTCTTTGAGGAAAAATAAAGTCACAAAACACCCAATGAATTAAGATGCACTTTGCAGAACATAGAAACTAATGAAATATGAAATGTTTGCTCAGTTCTTCCATAATATCAATTGACAGCTTATATATAAAGCACAGAGAATACAATCATAAATTAATCACAGCCTTTGTCCTCTGTTAGGTAATCTAGTCAGAAAAGGAAAAAGAAATATAAAAAAATAAAAATGATCCAGCTACAAATGTGACAATTAATTTGCAGTGTGATTTCATGGTAACAAGATAATTTTACTGAAGTGCTTAAGAGTTAAAACAGTATTAACAGACACTGCTTAGCTAATGTCCACTATACAGTCTGAATCTTGGCTGTATTAAATAACTTTACCAAGCATATCGACAAAACTTTTAATTTCTCCACAAATGTCACCCTTAAAATGCATCATTCTGTGTAAAATATAATTCTCCACTAATAATGTGTGTAGAATTATTTCTTTAAAAGTTAACCTATGGTATAAGAAGTGTTACTCACCAGCACTTGAAAGTTTTGTAAATGGTACAGATAGTCTTAGAGTTTTTCTTAAGAGTAAGTATAAATTAAAAATTGACAAAGTCTCCATTCTAGATTAAATCTTTGTAAAACATTTTTTAAAAAATCTTTTACTTATTTATTTGTTTACTTGGTAACAATCTCACTATGCAGCTCAGACTTGTAGTGATCCTCCTGTCTCAGCCTCTTCAGAGGTGGGATTTTGCAGGCTGTGCCACAAGGTTTCAGTGGCTGGCTCAGCTCAGCACAGGCCCAGCATAGTGTGTGCTACTAGGGATTAAACCCTGGCCCTTGCACTTGCCAAGCAGGTGCTTAGACCCCTGAGCTATCTCCCTAGTCCTCAAAAGTATTTTTAATGGAGAAAATCTTTCTTGGATGATAAATAGGTAAAACATTAACTTAAATTCTTAGCACTCGAGCAACCTGACAAGATTTAATTAAAATTAAGTCTTAAAATAATGTTTTCTTCCCCCAAAAAATTAAGCCAAAGAATAAGCAGATGATTAAACAGCTACAATTAAGTAGGAAAATTGGTACAATTTTCCATTTGTCTTCCTTTTTTGAGTAGAAATTTTATATACTCATAATTTGGCCAGTGTAAACTGAAAAATAAAAAAAAAAGTCCAAGTGATAGAAAACATTATATACAGCTATTGTGGTATTTAGAATTAGTTTTATAAGCAGTTGGCCTCATGAAGTTCTGTGGCTCCATCCTCTTAGATGTTAATGGTTTCCTTCTGTAAATGACTAATGATATATTCTGTCTGAGTTTAAAAATAGAACTCAGCGTCACACGTGAGTACATGTAACTGTGGCTTCGGCGCTCCCTTAAGGGGGCAGGGCGGAGACGCAAGCGAGCAATTTTATTATGTTTATATTTGACTGGGAGAAAAGTAACCCCTGGATGACCTCCATGTCCCCAAGTCTGAAATTCTAAACTTCGTGCAGATGTAATAAATAATCTCATGTGGGCTGGGGGAAGGGAGCTCTTTATTTTTAGACAAGGCAAAGTTTTCCTTTCCTCACTTCAGACTTTATTTTAGCAAAGAAGTTTTGGACACTGTTAAACTAACAAGGGGGATGCATCAGTAGCAAAGCTTTATTTTAAGAGGAAGGGATAGGTGGATGCATGGAGGTACTCTATAATATTTCATCTTCATTTTAAGTTAGTGATTTATGAGGAAAAAAGAATAGATGGCAGACTGCTCTGCTATTATTCTGCTAGAATTATTCATCAGTTGTTATATTTTAGAGAAGTGTGCTATTATATGGAATTAATAGGGCCGATATCCTAACAGAACCATCTTATGAAATGGACTTGAGATAGCTTCTCTGGGGAAAGATGGAGCAGTTTGGAGAATAGGTTGTGTGGCAGTGTCCAGATCCCATGCATGTCTAGAAACTGGGGGTCAAAAAGGTTTTTGAAAAACTTGAAAGTATAGACAAAGGGATAAAGAAGTCAGCATGTGGGAGTGCTGGAGGTAAGGTGCTGGCCGTGGAAGTCAAGCATAGCTTTACAATGAAAAACATATTTTCTTTGATGAAAGTCATTATAATTGAACACAACAGTAACCAGCAATGTTGCTAAATCATTGACTCTTCGGGGACAATAAAATGCTCCCCAAGAAACTAAAACTCAGGCACTTTTACAGAACTTGCATATGCAAATTTGACAGTTGATAGCTCAAATGTCAGGATTGCTTGAATAAATCCTCCAAATTTCAATTTTTGATCAAATTTGACTAGCTTATTGCATTAAAAATCATCAGGACATCAACTGCTTTTTACAATGACTTCTTCTGTCTGTAGGTTTCAAGACAGGGACATATAAAGTAAAACCCTTATTCCAGTTTGCTGGACAGAAACTTATAAGCAAAATATCTCAATATGGATGAGCTCTTCTTCTAGTTAATACACAGCAAAAGTAAAAAAAAAAAAAAAAAAAAAAAACCTGTGTAAACAAAACCAGAAAAAACCTACCTTATGATTTATGATAACTGCTTAGTCAAGGACTAAAGTTAAAGTTAAAGTGATTTATTTCCTCACCACATTTCTTCAAAGATAAACAGGCATGTTCCAGCCTCTGGGCTTTTGAACTTAGATTCCCTTTTCCAGGAATTTTCTTCTTTGGGCAAGTGTCTTTTAAATATCACCTATTCAATTAGGTCCTTCTTGCGCACCTTATTTTAAACTGTAATCTTACTCTTTCTTGCTTCTGACCTTCTAATCTAAGATACAATTTTTATTTTGCTTATTGTCCATCTTCTCACAACAGATTGTAAGCTTTAGAGAATATAAACTTTTATTGTTTTGTTCACTGTGGTAACCCCAAATTAGGCAGAAGAGATATATTTGTCGAATGAATAATATGACTAGTTTAATACTTTGTAGATATTAGGCAGATAATAGGTTTAAGGAAACATTAGACTCCTTTCTCTTAGTGTAATACAGATTAATTAGACCTTTAGATTTTTCACTAATTAAAACATAGCCTGCCTCTAGGTCGATAATTATCTGTTTAGAACTATGCTCTGCCTGACTCTGGACAAATGTACTTTTCATCAATGTAATCTTTGTGCACCAATCTATAGAAGATATGGATACAACTTGAATATCACTAGATACAGAAGGAACTCCTTGTATTTCCTTCAGTGTATTCCCCCCTCATATACTTGTTCTGTTTCTTTTTTTCTTTCTCTTTCTGAAGAAGAAAAGAACTGTGGATGGAACCCAGAGCTTGTGTATGGTTGGTAATTGGCCTACCACTGAGCCACATCCCTAGCTCCATCTTCTTTCTATACAGCACTTATCACTGAGTGAAACTGACATACTTTGAAATTGACATTACTTGTTGGTTTACCTTTTTTAAAAATGTCTTTTTGCAAAGAGAATGCAAACTTCACAACAAAGTATCATCTGGTCCTAGGGCTAGGGAGACAGGTCAGCTGTCTAAGAACCTGCCTGGCAAGCACAAGGACCTGTGGTCGATCCCGGAACCATGTGCTGTGTCAGCCACCAAAACCAGGAGTGGTGGAGCATGCCTATAATCCCAGTGCTGGGGAGGCTGAGAGAGGAAGATCACTGTAAGTCTGAACTGCATAATGAGACCCTGTACCAAATAAATAAATAAATAAAGTTTTGGTTTTTTTTAAAGTATTACCTGACTCCAACTATCAATAGTGTTGAGAATGAGAGACTGTAACTAACTGGTTTACAGACTTATGCGTTGTTTTGAGGTTACTACAGAGAGGAAGACAATAGCTTACCATTCTGGACCTGATAAAATACAACTCCTGACCTGCCCCCAGACCCTCTCTTCTGTCTTCACAAAACCATGTATTTTTAATTATAGGCTGAAAATCATTATTGCCCAGTGTTAAATTACTCTGCTTATAATTGTAGCACATGAGTAGCCTGATGTACATTACCTGCTCCTCATGGAGAATGACTTGACCCTTGAGAGGACTTCCCAGTGGTGCCACTGTCACAAATGGATGCCAAACTCCACTGGCCATTCTTGGGAAGATATCAAATAAGTCCACAAAGAAGCCACTTTTCTCACTCATATTCATAAAGTATAAGGAAACAGGATTGCATGCAGCTACATACAGAGTATTTGTCTCATTTTCTGAAATAACAGAAAGGAGTTAACTTAGTGATTTGTTACTGATTTCCTGACTAGTCAGGAGGTCTAGTGAAACTGAATGATGAGGTTGAGCACAGACTTTAAACTGGCAGGTGATGTGTAAATGGACTGATAGACTGAAAAGACCATAAAAGCAACTGCCTTCCCTAAGTGTTGACTCATACATACCCATTGTAGGAAGTAAGCACCTACTTGGTCTCAAAAGAATAACACAATATTTCATGATAACACCATTACGTATTTAATAATCTCAATGTCAGGATATTCTTCGTTGTGTTCTAATGAAGGCCTATTTTCTCTATTCCACTATTGATTTAAGACAACAGTTTATCAACAGCTATCTGTAAATATTCTATTTTTTATAGTTTCTAGATATTTAGAATTTTCCTGGCATAAGAAATTCTATTTTTAAAAAAATCTTAGTCCTATGAATTTTAATTCTAAACTTTCATTAATATTTCAGCATATCTTGTTATAAACTCTCTTTTCTTTTGAACATTTTCTTCCTATTTGATAATATCTACTGTACATTCTGGCCCTTATTTATGCCTTCAGTTTTTCATACCAGAGAAACAATGTGGTATTTATATGTGTATGTTCGATTTATTTCACTTAAGACTATGGTCTCACAGTAATGTTTAAATGGGAAAGGGAGCTGGTGAGATAGCTCAGTAAACTAAGTCCCTGCTTTGGTAAGCACAGGGACCGGGGTTCAATCCCTGGTCCCGCATGCCACGCTACTCTCAGGGCACACTGAGTCAGAGAAAGCGTCTGCACACTATGGTGGCACACGCCTGTAATCCCAGCATTGGAGAAGCTGAAAACAGGAGGATCTATGAGTCCAAGCTGTGTAGTGAAACTGTGTACCAAATACATAAATGAAAAAAAAAAAAAAGAAAGAAAGAAAAAGGGAAAGGGAGATAGGCAGGAGGAAGGGGGAAGGGAAGGAAAGGAAAAGAAAAACATTAGAAAAAATGGAAACAAGGCTTTTGTAAATGAGGGGAAGAAGAGCTGAAGGGAGGGCAGAGGAATGAGGAAAATAAAGAATCAAGTTATATCAGGTACAGGTGCAGGCTGCCTATAATGAATGTGAACATTATGCATACCTAAAATGTATCAACAAACTTAATAAAAAATTTCTTTTCAATATGAATTCTTGCATAATAGCTCTATTTGTTGTTTTATATGGCCATCAATCATCTGTGGAATGAATGAAAATGCAGATTTTGACACAGTAGGTCATGAATGAGGTTTTAAGATTCTCCCGTTCTAATAAAGCTCTCAGAAGATGCTGCTGGTTTTAAGCCTTCCCTTTCAGTAACCAGGCTCTAGATTATATTTTTCATAATCTCATGTGATGCCATAGAGGAAAGGGATTAGCTGCTTTTGTCTAATAAATGGAACTGGTATCATCTACCATCTCGGTATCTATTTTATAGTGGTCATATTTTTTAACTCAAAATTAGACACAAAGTCTTGCAATGATTTGTTTAAACTGGAGACAATCCTAGACTATCTGGACTGAGTTTGTGTGCACATACCTTATCTATAAATAATATTATATATAATATAAACATTATATGGAGATATATTATAAATATTACATATAAAATACAGTAAGTTTAAACAAATGAGATTACACTGATAAGAAACACAGTCATCAACAGAAGGGCAGAAGGGGGTAGATATTTTTAGGAAACAAATGTGAACTGTATGCTATTGGTCAACTGTCAGACCACAGAATTTATTATTTAGGGATATTTTAATGCTTCCATTATAAACACAAGTTCAATTTAATGTTTACTGGATACTTTCATGCACAGTATAAAGCAGTGAAAAATACAGTAAGAATGTTCAAAGAAATATATTTCTTTAAACTTATTATTTCTCTTTTCTTATTACAGTCAAGTAAATGCCATTTGGTATTTGGCTTAAATATACTAACTCTACTTCTAAAACTAAAGAGATGTTCTTTTCCTTTACAAATGTATAGGTTAAAAAACACTCCCCCTCAACCCCAAAATTAAAAAATAACAAAAACACAATTTGGAAATTCGGCTAATACTAAAGAGGGTTAAATTATATTGAGGACAGCAAATGATTCACATTCCTCAGGAAGAGAAATGTGATTGATTGTGTTGAGAAGCTGATTGTGTTGAGAAGAACAAGACTGTGAGAAGGTTAAATAAGAAAAGTGCTGCAAGTGACCTGTCGCTTGCCTGAGGCACAAGGCCACAGTACACTTCTCTAGGATTCTGAAGCCAAAGACAAGGGCTAAAATCCCAATTTAACATGCCAGATCTCATCATACTTTCCGTTTATTGGTGAATGCAAAATATCTTCAGAACTTTGATCTTTCACAATAATCAAAAAACCTAAACCAAACCAAAACAAAACAAAACAAAAAACTCTGTACATGTTTGAAGCTTACTTTTATGCAAAAAAATTGGGGGAAATTAAACAAGGAATTAAGCAATATCTACAATTCAATAAAAATTGTAAGCACGATGTTTTGGAATTTATGGGATGCAATGAAAGCAGTTCTTAGAAGGAAATTTATAGTTGTGAACTCACACATTAGGAAAACAGAATGGGAACAAATAAATACCCTAATGCTAGAGCTCAAACATCTAGACAAAGAAGACCAAACCAAAACCAAAGCCCAACAATAGGAGGAAATTATAAAGATTAAAGCAGAAATTAATGCAATCGTGACAAAGAAAACAATGTAAAGAATTAATGAAACAAAAAGTTGGTTCTTTGAAAGGTTAAATAAAATTGATAAGCCCCTAGCTAACTTCATCAAAAAGAGGAAAGAAAAAACTCAAATTCAAGCAATAAACAACGAAAAGAGTGAAATTACCGGAGATCCTGTGGAAATTCAGAAGATCATCAATAGCTACTTTGAGAATCTTTACTCTCACAGAATACAAGACACAGAAGGAATGGACAGATTCCTAGAAAGGTACAAATTACCAAAACTGAATCAAGAAGATATAAGAACTATAAAAAAACCCAATAACAGCCGATGAAATTCAAAATGTAATTAAAAAAAAAAACCCTATAAACAAAGAAAAGTCCAGGTCCTGATGGATTCACAGCTGAATTCTATAAGAAATTTACAGAAGATATAATCCCAATACTCCTCAAACTCTTTCAATGACATTGAAAAGTAAATAATCCTCCCAAAATCATTCCTGGAGGCAAGTATTATACTGATACCAAAACCACAGCAAGATGCAACTGAAAAAGAGAACTACAGGCCAATCTCCCTCATGAACATAGATGCAAAAATCATCAATAATATCCTAGCAAATAGAATACAGCAAGTCATCAAGAAGATAATGCACCATAACCAGGTAGGATTCATCCCAGGGATGCAAGGATGGTTCAATATATGCAAATCTATAAATGTAATATACTATATCATTAGAGCCAAATCCAAAAACCACACAATCATCTCAATTCATGCAGAAAAGGCTTTTGACAAAGTCCAATACTCATTCATGTTTAAAGTCCTACAGAAAATTGGAATAGATGGCCTCTAACTTAATCTGATAAAAGCCATCTATGACAATCTAACAACTAACAGAATTCTATGTGGGGAAAAACTGAAATCTTTACTCTCACATCCTGGTTCAAGACAAAGCTGTCCTCTATCACCACTCCTATTCAATATGGTTCTGCAATCATTAGCTAGAGTCATTAGACAAGAGAAAGAAATAAAAGGAATAAGAATAGGTAAAGAAGAAGTTAAACTATCATTATTTGCAGATAAATTTTTTGGAAAGACCCAAAAAATTCCACCAAGAAGCTACTACAATTAATACACAAATTCAGTAGCATAACAGGATGCAAAGTCAATATGCAAAAGTCAATAGCATTCCTCTACACAGATAACAAACACACTGAGAGAGAAATTAGAGAAACAATAGCATCATGGAACTAAAGTAAAAGATCTATTCAATGAACATTACAGTACTCTGAAAAAGGAGATTGTAGAGGATTTCCGAAAATGGAAAGATATTCCCTGCTCCTGGATAGGAAGAACCAACATTGTGAAGATGGCCATACTCCCAAAATTGCTGTACAGATTTAATGCAATCCTTATCAAACTCCCACCAACATTGTTGAGGACCACCTGAGCAGCTCTCCTTGAAAGAAGAGCAACTGTCTCCATTTTGACTGAGCCTGACCTTATTTCCTTGTATTGTTATGTACAGAGCTGGCTAGGACTTCTGTTTATCCTTCAATTGGCCTTAAGCAATGTGTATTGGTCTAGCTGAGGTGCTGGTGATAGTCTTTGAAGATGGCATATGTGTTTCCTTGGTAAACCTGCTGCTCTTGGATGTGAGCCAGGTTGAGACTGGATGGTAGAGCTAAAGCTCTGGGCTGCCAGCTGGGAACAAGTCTCGAAACAGAGGCTATGACTTCCTGGGGCTTGAAAGACTGCATCAAAGCTGAAGCACCACACTTACCAAAACATTAAATACTATATAATGCAGATTACTCTGCATATTCTCTCTGCATATCACGGAGGTAAAATTAGGTCACCTACTTAGCTTAGCTCATAGTAGTCACCTACTTCCCACAATTCTTAGTCAATCCTCCTCAAGCCACTCCTCCACTGAATAAACTTGGTTGAAGCCCTGGGTCACTCTCTTGGTTCCAGAAAGCCATCTTCGTGGCTGGACTTAGAGCTCCTTGACTCCCCAGTGATTGAAAATATAATTTAGTGTCTTTATTTTTACTGTGGGTTGCATTGAAAGTGGTAGATTGGAATCAACTTGTTGGGATTCCAATAATGTAACTTTGGGATCACAAATATTGGCTTCTTGGACCGAGATGAGGATCTTAACTCCCAGACCTAGAGAAATCATTCCTAAAATTTATTTGGAACCAGAAAAGACCTTGAAAAGCAAAGGCAATCCTGGGCAACAAAGACAAGGCAGGAGGCATTACAGTTCCTCACTTGAAATTATACTACAAAGCTACTGTGATAAAATCAGCATAATATTGGCAGAAAATAGACCCTGAGGATCAATAGAATAGATTAAAAGATGCAGAAGCAACTACAAACACACTCAGCCACCTTATCTTCGACTAAGGGGCCAAACATTCTTCCTGGAAGAAAGCTTCTTTAACAAATGGTGCTGGAAAAACTGGCTCTCTACATGCCAAAAACTAAAACTTGACGCAGGTCTATCACCATGCATTAAACTAAAGATTAAAAATCTTAACATTAAAACAGAAATACTAAATCTCCTGGAAGAGAAAGTAGGAAGAAATCTTGAAGACTTAGGGGTAGGCAAACAGTTTATGAACAAAAATCAAACTGCACAGGAAATACTTGAAAGAATTAACAACTGGGACCTCTTCTTATTGAAAATTTTTTGCATGTCAAAAGAAATTACCAACAGAGTAAAAAGTCAACCCACAAATGTGGAAAAAAATCTTAACTAATAAGCACTCAGACAAAGGTCTTCTATCTAGAATTTATAAAGAACTAAAAACCATTAGGACCCCCAAATTTAAAGACCCAATCCAAAAATGGGCATCCGAGATGAAAACACACTTCTCAGAGGAAGAAATACAAGAAGAAAATAAATACATGAAAAAATGTTCTACATCACTAGCCATTCATGAAATGCAAATTAAAGCAACACTGAGATAACATCTCACCCCAGAAAGAATGACTATCAAAAAGAAATCAACAAACAACAAATGTTGGAGGGGCTGCTGGTGGGAATGTAGACTGGTGCAACCATTATGGAAATCAGTGTGGAGATTCCTTAAAAAACTAGGACTGGAAATCCCATTCAATCAAGCTATCCCCCTTGTGGGAATTTTCCCAAAAGAACTTAAAACATCATATCATAGTGATACATGTGCTCCTATGTTTATAGCAGCACAATTTGTGATAGCCAAATCTTGGAAACAACCAAAATGCTCCTCACCTGCGGAATGGATGAAAAAGATGTGGTGTTTTTATACAATGGAGTATTACTCAGCTGTAAGGAAAAATAAACTTAAAGCCTTCAAAAAAGTTGAGGGGAAGTCAGGCATGTAAAACAACCCCAGCAGCAGCAGCAGGAGTGCCAGGGCACTGGGAGCAGTGACCCTGAAGGAGCATGGGGTGACACTGGCAGTGGCAACCTGGTGACAGCGTGAGAGGTACCCAGTTTGACAAGTTGGCATCATGAGTGAGTACAAGCTAGTCATCTTGGCTCAGGAGGCATTGGGAAGTCTACTCTAACTGTACAGTTTGTTCAAGGAATTTTTGTTGAAAAATACAATCCTACGATAAAAGATTCTTACAGAAAGCAAGTTGAAGTAGATGTACAGCATTGTATGCTTGAAATTTTGGATACTGCAGGAACGGAACAATAAACAGCAATGAGAGATTTATACATAAAAAATGGACAAAGCTTTGCTTTAGTTTATTCCATCACCACACAGTCCACATTTAATGATTTACAAGATCTGAGAGAATAGATTGTTTGAGTTAAAGACACTGATGATGTTCCATTGATTCTGGTTGGTAATAAATATGATTTGGAAGATGAAAAAGTTGTAGGAAAGGAACAAGGTCAAAATCTAGCAAGACAGTGGAACAACTGTGTGTGCTTAGAATCTTATGCAAAATCAAAAATAAATGTTAATGAGATCTTTTAAGACCTAGTGCAACAAATTAACAGAAAAACCCCAGGGGCTGGAAAGGCCCACAAAAAGTCATCGTTAAATACAATGTATTTAACATAATAAATACATTGTAGCTCTAAGCCAGGCCTGAAGAACTGTTGCCCAATTCAACGGTGTCAGCATTTCAACTTTGTTAAACCTACCAACATCTTAAATGGACTTTCCTGTGGGGGTACCCCATAAGAGGCAGATGAAAGCTACTCTGTCAGTTTGCACACTCTAATCATTTCCCAGTATCACAAGAGAGATTTTTACTTATATAATAGTCCTAGAGTATGCAGCTGGTAAAACCAGAGGCTACATTCAGTATTACTGCTACGAGACATTTCTTCATCCACCAATGTTGTACATGTATGAAAATGGTGTACTGTATACTTTAACACAACCCATACTTTGTATTGGAGAGTACAATAATGTCAATCCTAAAAGCACCACTATTTTAGCATAACAAAGGAAAGTCCAAAGAGCTCCTATATAGACTACTCCAGATAACGTTGCTTCTTTGATACTTGTAGCTTATTGTAATTTTTTTAAAATCAAAGTCATTATCATTGTATTGCACAAAATAGCCACTTTGATTAACACAGCTATGTAGTTTTTTTAATTTTTCAAAAACCTGTGCAGATAGTGATCTTGTCTTTATAATATGATAGTCCTTTCAGTATGTTCTAGATGAAAGACGTTGCCTTTAATATCTTTTGGGAAGGAAATGTTCAGACTTTTGAAATTTCCTTATTGTGTATGTTTCCTTTTTTTTTCACAAAGGGAACAATATTTATAGTTGTGTGTACAGTGGGGGTCTACAACAAGAAGTGTATATTTTCAAACCATTTTTTAATGATTTAACAATTTTTGTAAATCATTTTCCGGCTTCTGCAGCTGTAGATTCTCACTGTAAATCCCTTGCTTGCTCATGCATAAGTGTATTTGCAATACCAAAGATACAGGTTCAGTATTTTTGCCTGTTGGTGGTTGTTTCACACATGTAAAGTTTTGGTTGAGATGTTAAATGGTGGACAAGTACTGTGGATGTGAATGTTGGAAGTAAGTTTAATCATGTGTCACAAGGCCTCATTTGCAGTAACTATTGCTGTTTTATTGAACAATGCCTTGTTGCTTTGTATGCATTAACATTTGGGTATAAAGGTTGTGTGTCTATCCAACAGGGAGCCACAGTATTTAAACTGACCAACCTACTGTTACAACTACTTTGAGGTGGCCAAACGTAAACTTAAAGCCTTAATTAAAGTGGTGCAATTTTGTAAAAAAAAAAAAAATTGGGGAAATAAACGATATGGGCAGAACTTAGAGGAACAAAAATAAAACACTGATTTTGTCCCAACAATTCTCATCTTAGTCAAATTAGGTAGAGCATCCCTTCCCGTATCTCCTGCTGTTCAGATCATCCTAATGACTGACATCAGTTGGGGAACTCCTGCCAAATGGTGCCCAGGGTTCACTGTATGAAATCAGTAGGTAATGGTGACAGTTCAGAAATGGAAATGCCAATAATTTACATTTCTTATTTGACATTCTTTACAATGAAAAGTTTAACGAATGCAAAGCATTCTGACCCTGGTTTTGTGGTTCACACACTCGCCAAACTGGAATCCCAGCCAAAAAAAAAAAAAAAAAATTCAATGTTTCTGCTTTTTCGTTTTCCCTTCTATTTTTAGCAAATGCCTGGGTGTGTTTAACTTTGTGCTACAACTGTAATGAGAAACAGACATACACACACAAACTCAGCAGTGCTTATGTGAATTCCACAATAGCATTTTGTTAGGTTGTTAGAGGAAATTAGTTCTAAATTATATGTAATTGGCTATCCAATCCAAGAATGACAGTCCCTAAATCTCTCATAGATTTCTTGATGCCTACAGATTATTTTAATCCCTTTAAAAATCAATGCAGGAAGAAAAGATCAAAAGAATAAA